TTTGTTATAATAAGTGATACGATACGGATAAAAGTTCGGGTAAAATTTAACAAAATATTGACAAATATTATTTTACACGAACATGCTTTTGAACTTTGCCAAGTGATCGTGCTGGTCCTGCGCCGCGTCACACGCTGCGCAGCTACCCTAATGTAATAATATATTCGAAAAGTGTCCATCAGTTTATAGATAGGTTAGTCATGGCAAAAAAAATGTCCAGATCACGCGATCGACGATCGCTTCCGGCCTCTTTGATGTAGCCGAAAAATTATATGTTACGTATACGAAAATAAAATCAGTTATGTTTATTATAAAAGTTAACAATATCGATATCGATATTAACGATATTTAATGATATTAATATTGATTTAATTTTCGTGTAACATATGATTTATCGGGCTAAGTCAAAGAGGTCGGAAGCGATCGTTGATCTCGTGATCTGGACATTTTTTGCCATGACTAACCTATTTTCAGTTTATCGAATACTACTCAGCCAGCCAACAATGCTAACCAATTACATTTAAAAGATAACAAATAACATGATTTTCTTAATGAAATTATTGAAGAAATATGTAAATTACACGAAAAGAAAAGATTAAAAGGCAAAACGTCCGTTCAATTCTTGACATGTTAGATCAATTTCTAGTAATTAAAAAACAAAATCCAGATAATATTATCAATTTTTGCCAAAATAATTATGCCAATCCTATAATTCAAATCATCTTGCAAGTTGTTATTATTTTGGTAAATAGGCTGAAGAGAATAAACATAAGGTATTTGTTTATTATCAAAAATCTTCTGATATGGGTAATAATGAAAGAACATTTAATGTTTGATCATGGAGTTGAGTTAAAAAGGATGAAAATAAGGCTTTCATTAATTATCAAAAATCCGCAGAGGCTGGATGAGCTAATGGAACATATGTGGTTGGATATTATTATCAATATGGAATTAAAGTTGAAAAGGATGAACACAAAGTTTCATTCATTCTCAAAAAACTGCTGAGATGAGAAATATCGTACCGTAGGTCACTCAAGCATTATTTTTACGTTTTTTTTTTGCATATCAAACATAATAACCCTAATGCTTAGAGCTTTTTAAACAAATAATCGATACCCTGATATGAATGTAATAAATACGACCCATTTCTTAACCTTTATAAGCTATAATGAATACTGCTATTCCATTTTCATTCCGTATTTAATGGATAAGAAGGTTATAACTCGTTTCTAAAACATTTTTGTATTATTTATGCTGATTTCAGTGCAAAGTAGCAACTGCAGAATTACTATAGGTTGCCTATAAACAAGATTTTAAATACTATATTATTGGCAATAAATGACTATTAATAAAACAAATATATACGCATTATAAAATTGATTTAAAAATTTTTAAATTTAACCTGACATTTATTATATGTCATTTACAAAACACCACATTAATTACCCCACTATCTCTTACATTTACTAGTGTTTGATCTTCTATGACCTTAATTGACAAACCAGACAGAAGTCGAGAAATACATTTCATTTCTGTTTTATTTGGAGAAATTTTTTTTAATCCACCTTGTGAACTTTGGGATATTGATATCAAACCTATTAAAAAAAGAAATGGGATAAAGACATATAATAATATCACTCTAAATTTTCCAAGTTTTTTTCCCCTATCTTTTTCATCCCCACCAGTTTTAAGGCACTCGAAGGTGACAAACGTAAAAATAAAATTTTTATGATCTTCAGTCCATTGTTTAGCTAACCAAGGGATAATGATTTTAGAATAAATAATGAAAACACCATCAAACACTATACATAAAGAAGAAAGACAAATAAGAGAAATAACTGAAATTTCAAAAAAGACTGTTTTATTAACCATGAAAAAATAAAAAATAATAGAAATAATAGACAAAATAAGAATAAAAGATGCCACGAAAATTATATAAATAATTTGCAAAATACTTGTCAAGCGTAAATTATTAATAAGTTCTTCAAAGAACTTTAAAGCTAAGCCATAAGGTTGTTGTTCTTGAATTAGCTTCACCTTATCAAGATTTTTAATATATTCACATACTTTTAGTTCACTTAAAACCTTTATCGTATTTAAATGTTCTTGAATTAATTCTGTCTCATATCGGTTTACCTTAAATATTTGTTCTGAACTTTTAATAATTTTGTCATCAATACTTTCTTTGTCCGGTTTCTTCATGGGAAAAAGTTTTATAAAAGATAGAAAATTATTAATTAGAGTTCCTACGCTTCCTATTCCGAGCAAGGAAGCTGGAATAATGCTATTAATGTGCATAGTATTTTTCTCCAAAATGAGAAGAAAAATACCAAATGCAAGTGACAATGTCCAAAAAAAAGCACAAATAATCGACCGTCTACAAGTCAATAATTTTAAACTTTCCCATTTGTCATACGTCATTTTCAGCTCATAAAGTGTATACCTCCTTTCTTGAAAACTTTCCGGCGAACCATTTTCCAAATATTCGATACTATTCGTGTTAGACATTACTATAATTTTTATTTTACTTTTTTTCGTAGAGTAGAAATAAGACCTAAAGAGAAATCAAAACCAACATCACTTTTTATATAAACAAAGCGTAAATATTGAACATATACATGTTTGTACAGTGCAATGGAACGCATACCAGGAACGCAGTTATACTTGCATGATAGCATTGTTGTACACGGACGTTGTCCCGATTAAATTTCAGGGACACAGACGATGTTCCATGCTCCGGACACTGTCCATTGTCCGTGTCCCTGTTCTATGACAACACTGCATAATGGTTAATTTGATAAACTTAAATTACAGGTTTTGCATACCAAATTTGTACAAATTAGTACGTACGGTACAGAAAATTTACAAACTTTATCTCTATATAGCGATACTGTAATACATAATCTGGTGACGCATTAAAAATAAATTTCTTAAATTATCATTCTCAATAAGGTGAGGAATCTAGAATTCAGAAATTCTAACGCTATATAGCGAAAATGCATAATCTGGTGGCGCATTAAAAATAAATTTCTTAAATTATCAGTCACAATAAGGTGAAGAAAGCTAGAATTCACAATCTCTATCGCTATATAGCAATACTGTAATGCATAATCTGGTGGCACATTGAAAATAAATTATCAGTCTCAATAAGGTGAAGGAATCTAGAATTCTTATACTCTTCCATAGAAATAATACGCCAAGAACATCACGAAGTACATTTTTTTATAAAACTTACATAGTTCTATAAAGTTATATAAATGTTGTATAAAATTTTTATAT